AGTCTGATTGGCAGTGGGATAAAACTTGATCCTCGTAAAGGTTTGTATTTAGCGACATTTAAGGTCAATCCTATAATTTTATCGAGTGTCCAATTGCTACCCTGTCTCTGATATTCTAAAAATGAAGTCATTATCTTTTTGATGCTATCTTGTAGGCTTTGTTCCAAATCAACGACTTTTAATGCAATATGACAACGTCCATGAAAATGAGGCTCCACCATTTCCGTCTGAATCGGACTTGCATTGTTAAATACCATTTGATACTTTGTTTTTTCAACAAGGCAGCCCTCAGAATTTTCTTAATTTTGTCAAAGTTGGAATGTAAGAATTGAAGGGGGTCAAATTTCGTCTTATTTAAAGCGGGTAAATTGTAAACCTTGAGATTTCCATTTATTGATTCTTCTTTTGTAATGCAATCATTGGTTTCATTGCTAGTAAGGCCTCCTCCAATTTGATTATTTTCTTGAGGTTCTGTTGAGATCTCAATGTCGTTCTCGTCTACTGGAATGTTTTGATTCTCAGCACCGGAATTAATTGGAACACGTGTCATTGGATGCTGTATTCTCATGTGGCGTTGAAAGTTATCTTTTCTTTTAAATTGCATGCCACAGGTAGTGCATTTGTGCCCAGAACTTTTATGAGCTGACCTTAAGTGGCGATACATATTTGATGAATGTGTAAATGATGCTCCACAAACATTACATATGACAGACTTCATTGTAGACAACTAATCTGAAAATAATTAAAATAAACAAATATTAACAGAAAATTTTGCATTAGGAGATATATATATATATATATATATATATATATATATATATATATATATATATATATATATATATATATATATATATATATATGTTTATATAATTTTATTTAGATAGTACTGAACTCTGATTAAGAAACCACAGTTTCAAGACCATTGCACGGCCATCAACATCCCTGTCACCAGGGACGGAGCTCCGCCCACCGAAGTAGGCTCACATGAACTTGAGTCGGACAGGTCTTCCCGATAATAACGGGGACATGTTACGTTAACGCTCCCCTGTCCGTTGTGAGCTAATAACATCGCCCTATATCGGTACACCGTGTTCATGTGCAGCAATGTCTCAGAATTCATAATTTTAATTCCATATTGTTAATCATGTCTAAATTGCTTGTATTCATATTTTATTGTAATACTTAGACTAAATTAGCCTCTTCAGTTGAATACAGTAAACCCTGTTTAAGGCTGTTTCTACAAATAAAAAAAAGTCAAATAAATAACAATTTAATAGATTCAAAGTGTTATTAAAATTAATTAAACTTTTTCTGAGATAATCACAACCTAAAGAAAAACACATATCAGTATAATTAAAAAGTTTATCATTAATAACCACAACTTAGAAAAATCAATCTTAACATTTTCCATTAAAATATGATTAAGTTTTATTTTAGATTATTCTTTAGAAAGAGTGACTTACCTGACCGTCTGGTCCACCACAAAGTGATGAATTTGGTTATCATCGGTCTTTATATACCCGTTATACTGACTGTGAAAATTCTTTAATTTGATTGGATATTTCAAAAAATGTTAACCCCAAAACTGATTTGATGCATTAGATGGTAATGACCGCTTCCGCGAGAAGACGCTTTTCCTGTGTCTCGCTTGAATTCTCTTGCTTCACGTTGCTATATACAGGGGTCATGAATAAGCGTGTATCTGATGTTTCTTTTGTGTGACACACATTTTATGAATATTAAGGACAATCATGAATAAAACTTTGTAACTTTAATTTGGATTAACCTTTTGACCGGTATGCCATATCAAACTTATGAAATTTATGTCGAAAACTATTGACACATTGCTCATTTTACTTTTCATTTTCATTTTACTTTTCATTTATTGTCAATTTGTCACTGTTTTAAAATGATTGAAATGTTGTAAAGGGTTAAAGATCCGCTGTGAGGATTCTTAATCTTTATAACGTTCTAAGAGATGAAAACAGCTAGACAGTTTGATAAATAAAAATATCAAAAAAGCACGTTTGAAAAAACAAAAACAAAAGCAATATGGCGTCACATTGTTGATTTTTAAACCCGTTTAATCTTGTCCATTATGCTTGTCGTGACAAGTTTACCTATATTCTTTAAATAGAAGTGGCGTTATTAATCATTACAACACACATTGCGTTCACCTGTGTTTCGCTTGACAGCGACTTGATCAAAATAATAAAATAAATGCATCGGTCTTTCCTTATGTTTTGTTTTGTTTTATGTAAAAAAAAAAATCAATATTACATAGCAGCATTTTGATAAATAAAACATTTCAATTACCCTCAAAAACCCAGGTCATAAGAGGTCACAGTCAAGGTAGTCTACAGTCAGGGGGTAGTTCACAGTCGGGGGGGGGGGGGGTAGTTCACAGTCAAGGGGGAATACGTAATTATACTCTTTGAATTAACTCACACTTGTTTAACCTTTAATTGATAATTCATAATTAATTTGTTAATTAAATTCATTAGATGACGTCATGGGTATCCTCACACCCTGGGAGGATACCAGGAGGATCCTCCATAGTAACTCTATGGGAGGACACTGGTCCAGAACCCTGGTTTTTCCCCTACTCACACAGGAACCATGAAATTGTTCGTCTGACTAAAGAACTTTAAGGTACATTTTCTTGAAATATCTGCATCATATAGATAATGTGTAAGATTGTTTAAATCACTAAAGCCTGTAGGAGCCACAATTGGCTCCATATATTTACATGAGAGGTACGATCGGAAAGTTCGCTAACACCTACAAACCTTTAGATCCTTTATTGACATGCGTATCAATAATCCTTGTCAAACTGTTCAAACAATGCAAAATGCACCATCAATTGCACTGTCTGAGCTGTTCTAACACTGAATACTCACAATTAACTGTACTGCACAAACAGAGGCGAAAACGTATCTAAAGAATAGGAACAAGACACAAAAGGGTGATACATATGGTGAAAATGTCTTGTCGTTAAGAATTGCTGTGTAGTTTAACTGTCCTAAAACGTTATTGCCAGTGAGACTTACCTTTCTTAGACCGGGTCATCGCAAGACTGTCACTCCAATTCTCATGATTTCTAAAAGGATGCATCACTATATATACATGTACAACCTTTCTGGATTATGGTCTTTGCTATTAAAGGTAGTTGCGCAGAGATCAATTTTGCATCTACCACTTTTTCACGTTCTTTATAGAGTTTCTCCAATTTCATTTTTTATGTGTTGCGATAGTAAACACGCTGTCTCTTTCTTCGCATTCATTATAGGTTATCCACTCTTTTTGTGTTTTCTAATACAGACCAAGCTCAACCACTGTTTCAGTTTTTTTCAAGGTTCTCCATTATTTCCATCTCTCCTTTTTTAAACTTTCCCAATGCTTGACAAGCACACCACAGTCAGTTTTATCGAAGTTTTTAGTTAAAGTAACTTTTACACCTTTACATGCAGTCTAGGCTTGGTATTCTGAGTGCCTACAATCCAGATGCTTCGTCTTCTGTACGAAATTTGTTGGGAACAGAATCAATATTTATATATATATTGAATCGAAAAGTACTTTTAAGTTATCCAGACGTTATCTGGACGGGTTGCTCCGGAATAAAAGGGCCGGAATAATGGGACTGGACTGTATAAGAATAAAATAGTTTGATTACATTGCTTCTGTCCTTGAAAAAAAGTTCCCTCAAGGTGAATACACAAACGTAACCAGGGCGCATGCATGTTTACTCAGGCCTTTTGATCATGGAACATTTTTGACTTAAAAACAAAATCTGTAAATTGATATGCGTGAAAGTGTGGTGGTTTTGATTTTTATTTCAGTTGCCCTGGTTTCGTAATTTATATTTGCTAGTATTTCAGTGTGAAAATTTTTATTACATTGTTTTCAGTTATTACTTACGTAAAACCCCTTTAATCTTTGTATTTTCAAGATAGATGTATTACTTTTTAAACAGGAAGTTTCGTCAGCATTAGCAGTCTTTCCGTAGTAGTTCTGATTGAATGAATTAGACATGGAATCTTGGATATTATTGGCTTTCATCTGTGGGCATACCTAAGGTATTTAAAGCTGTGTTCGAGTAGTTTTCTTACTTGGGTTGGGGGACAGGACCTCACGGTCAGTTTCCCTTTAGAACAGTGCTAATTAAAACCTCAAGGTTTACCAGCACTTTTGGTCTTAGCATTAGTAAATATATTAGTAAATAAATACAGTATTCTCAAGTCATAAATGTTCGACTTATTATCTCATGATCATTGATTTCATAAAAAGTCGACGCACATTCAATGATCAAACTTTTGCCTTTGAGTTTTAAAAATAAAACATTTCATTATTCATTTTCCATTTCAAGATTATAATTACGCAAAAATATATTATAATTCATCAGTCATAAATAGATATCATTCTAAAAGATTTATCGGGATATAAATACGAGTGATCGGGCTTTATGGAATTTGATCACCTTACCAACCTATATTAATATCCTGAAAGATGTTTAAAAACTTATTTCTTAATATATTGCGGTCCACGTGCGTGCATCAACGTAGTTTTCAAGGTCATATCTGAAAAAAAAAAACAAGCAAACTGGGGCAATGAGACAGTGAAATGGTATCAGGGTCATAAATCTAGGAACCCTGATTAGAATGTCATAAAATTTTAGCACGTGTTTGCCCATGGTCTGAAAGTGTATCACTATATTGATTCAAAGTAACAAAAGGTCAAGGTCCTTTCCAAAACAACGACACAATAGCGCAAGTACCTTACTTGGATGTATCCATGTAAGGGATATATTTAGCGTGAACAATATTAGGGGGAGGGGGAATTTTATTTAAAACAAAAAAAAAGAGAGTAGTTTAGCGCTTCTGCACGTGCTACAGTAGATATATATATAAAAGACAGTACTTGATTTAGCGGTGGCAACTTTACTCCAAATGTAATATATTTACAACTCTTGATAGCAAGAACTTCAACTTTTAGCTATATGTTGTTGTTGCTATTTGTGTCTAGGCTATATTACTTTAAAACTTTAAATGGCTGAAATGCTCTGATTTTTACTTTTTGTTTTTATTTTTATTTTTTTACACTGAGGTATGTCATCACTTTGAGATTACAAGGTCATCTCCAAGATGAGGAAGAATGAATGGTCGTTCTGTTTAGTTTAGTTTTTAGTTTCAGCATTTTTTTTTTCTATTACTTAGACACAAGAATGAAACTTTTTTTACAGCAAGATAGAATTCAGCTGTTTTCATCAAGTAGCTACTGGGAATTTCATGGACACAACATCAGCAAGACCGGCTTCGATGAGTTCTCCTGGTTTAACCGGACCAGCACCAGCAGGCGAACCTGTGATGACAACATCACCTTCCTCCAAGGTGATGTAACTGCTTACGTAACTGATCACATGGGGAATGCTAAATATCATATCACTGGTACTGCTCCTCTGTTTTATCACGTCATTGACTTTTAGCCACAGTTCAATGTCGTTATAATCTTTTATTTTTTGCTTTGGGATGAATGCACTGACAGGACACGCTGTATCAAAGCCCTTCGACAAACACCAGGGATGTCCTTTGGCCTTTGCATCTACTTGGAAATCCTGTGCTGTCATATCCAGAACGAGACAATATCCTCCTATGTAGTTATCTACATCCTGTTTCTTCACGTTGGAGCACTGGCGCTTTATGATCACTCCAAGCTCCACTTCGAAATACAAGCGTTCACATCCCAAGGGAATCTTAAAAAATTTCAAAGAATAAGTTGATGCACAAACTTGCCTACTATGTACAGTTTCATTGTAAGCAAACTTGTTAATGTATCAAAATAAGCGAATTTTTAAACCTCAAATCGTAACTGATTTTTAATCGAGAGCTGAAATGAATTGTAACCTAAATTTCTCACATTTTCATCTGTGTTTCAACACTCCCACGCAGTTCGTTTTCATAACTTGTAAAACACCAAGGAAGTTTCTTATTGAATATATCTACCACGATTCTAATTGGCTTTTCAAAGGTCTACTCTTCATGTTCATGCCTCTCAAGGCATAAAATTTAGGTACTGTGTATGTTTGTAATTAATCTACGATTATTTTTTTTTCAACCTTCCCGTTTATATTTCATTTTGACAGATCATCAAGGTGTATTACTAGGGGCGTTCATACTGAAAGGATAGGCAACTTATTTAGCCTCATGTTTATTTCATCCAATTACATAAATCGATGTTTTTGTAATGGGAGAAACAGGTCATATATCCTGTGCAAGTTAGTACAAGTAACCGATTTTCTCAACCTCTCTTTCCTAAATTTAATTTTCAAGAGACCCTTGGCAAGCCTCTAGTCTTATAGAACAAGAGATGATTGTGAAACACTTATAACCCCTCCCCCCTTCAAATAATTGGAATTTTTCTAAATCCAAGGTGCATAACTCTGTCAAAAATTGCTCGATCGTACCCAAAACAGAACTTGATCTAGATATTCTTATAAACCTGTATACCATATTTTATTTCAATATGTGCCACCTCTGTAAAGAAAATGAACGGAAACTCAAATAATTGGAATTTTTTTAAGACCAAGGGGCATAACTCTGTCAAAAATTGCTCGATCGTATCTAAAACAGATCTTGACCTAGATATTCTTATAAATCTGGGGCCCGTTTCACTAAGCTAACTTAGGACTAAGTTATATCTTAGGAAAGAACTTTTTCCTAAGTTCATTACTTATCCGTTTCACTAACCTCGTCTTATCTTACGATATTCCTAAGTTATGTCGTAACTTTAAGACAAGTAAATCAATGACTTAGGAAGAAACTAAATATGACGACTGTAGATACATGTACAAGGATTCTTAAAGAGAGATACTGTGTGTGTTTAGGGAGAGAAAAAATCCAAAGGACTACTAGTATATGAATGATTGTGATCCCTTCAGGCTATAACTGCTTTACTTTGTATGTAATAGCTAAGAAAAGGATTTTAAGAATTGTCAGAGATGTGTCTGTATCACCGGTCAAAATTAATCCAAGGTATATAAAAATGTCCACTGGTGAAGTTGGAACTACAAATACATTGTACTTAAAGAATGTTTGATTTCTCACGAATTCGTGAATTTCCCAATGTTACTACAAAATGGACGGTGCACATGTTGGATTAAATCCCCTTCATTTAAAGAGCACGATTTTGTAAACAAAAAAATTCCACGCTATATACACTATTGTCTGTGTTACAAAACTTTGCATATAATTTGAACCATTATTATATATTTTTAAATCTAATAATATTACTAGTATTTGAATCGATATTTAGTATTTGAAAGATTATAGTTTGATAAGGGAACAAATTTGTTCTCTTCAGCTCATCTCCCATGGGAGGAAGGAGGCGCTGAAATGCAAGACTTGGACCATTTTCCCTCTGTTTCCGCTTAATGACTCCACTTTTTTTCAACTCTTCCCCTGAACAAATGTATGTTGTGTTACAGAAAATTAGGTCCCCTTGTCCCTTATGGGCTGATTTGTCATGGTAAAATTATGCATGAAGTTTATAATAAATTTCCTTTTTTCAACTTTTTTCTGTTAGTGTTGTCATTTCCACAGTCGCGAATTTGGAATTTCTTATCTGTCGAAAAATTCTTATTTTAAATTACATAGTAACACGGACAACTAACGTGGAGCACTCATTCGCGAAGAAATAAAAAGAAAATAAGCCCTTCGAAGCAATTATTGTTTTAAATTTATTCCATTTCCTAATTGAAACGATACTAGTAGCAAAATATATAGTAGGGGGGAAAATAAAGAATTGCAAACCTCCGATACCTTATACAGAGCAAAATAAAAGGCAAACATATAAAAGCACAAATTTAGTTTAAAAATTTAGTTTAATTTTTTAATTTAATAATTTAATAATTAGTTTAAAAAAAAAATACACGTCTTGTGACTGGGGGGGGGGGGGTGTATGTGCGTGTGTGTGAGAGAGAGGATGTGTGAGTGCTTAGTTTAAGTAGGAAACTTGTCAAAGTTAAACCATACTTCTGTCCAAGTCCTTTGAAAGTGAAGGGTAACCCCTTACCTCCCGATCCTCCCCTTTTCAAGCTGTTTTTTTTAAAAAACCCCAATTCAAACTAAAGATTTTTACTCATACTGACATCCTCCTAACAGTAAGAATTGTAGATAGAGTGGTGAAGTTATTTCATTAGTCCGTAACACAACTTAAGATATGTCTTAGGATAAATTTAAGATAAGATTGTTTCGTGAAACAGCTGTGACAAATCTTAGGAACTTCCTAAGTTATAACTTAGGCATATCTTAAGTTATGTCTTACGACATTTCTTAGGAAACCTTTGTGAAACAGGCCCCTGTATACCAAATTTCATTTCAGTATGTGCAACCTCTGCGAAGAAAATGAACGGAAACTGTTGGTGGACAGACAGACAGACAGCAGCAAAGCAGTATGCCCTCCCTTCTTCGAAGGGGGGCATAATAAAGAAAAAAATAAATAAAAAAAAAAATCAGGTAACTCGAGTTTGAGAAAAACCAGTTACTAATTCGCACCAGTTATGGAACCTACATGTATTTAAAATCCAAATTTATGTACAAAGAATTTTTGAAACTTTTACTTTCACCACAGAATAAATATTGGTGGTGGATGTATGACGAATACATTATTATACATGTATATGTAATAGGCTATGTGCTGAACAGAGTAATTTATTATATAAACTATTCAGAGATTAGTAGACAATACGACTCTACAAACGGTAATGGTTTGTAAATCATCATTTATAAAAGAACTAGATGAAATCCCGCGCAAGCGCGGGTAATTAAATTTATAGCACTACCGACAGAAAATATATTGTAGTTTCTACTGACAGCCTACAGGCTTATAGCAGGAAGAAATACTTTGTTCAAAATCCCGCATGTGCGCCTCCAACCCCCACCCCCTTTTGTAAAAACTTGAAAAAATAACAATTTCATTAATTGATATTTATTTTGAAACCTGTTATACTATGTTATGGATATTGTACTTCAGATGCTCTTATTTCATTTCCGTCAAGGATAAAAGCAGCGAATATGCACATTTTACTGATAAATTGTTTTTTTTTGGGGGGGGGGGGGGTAAAAATTCACAGGTACTTGAGTCTTGGTTTATAAATATATATGTACCATATTGATATGTAAAAAATGTACTTTACGTTTTTTTTTACATATCAATAAGGTACATACATCTAAATAAACCAAGACGGAATTAAGTACCTGTGTAAAAATTAGCTTTTAACGCCCTATGAATAGGCCGAGTATTTGATACAAAAGACTGTATTCAGAAAAAAAAACCTGAAATGTATTGATTAAAGCACAAAATTTTACAGCTTTAATTGCATTTAAGCAATATCTTATTCATTAATTTTCTCTTTTCATGTAAGCAATTTTATTACGAAGTAGAAATTGTACCTCGGGTTCGTTGCCACGATGCTCTCAGAGAGGAATATCATTCGGCAAACCTCGGCTGATTCCGTCACCATTGAGGTGATGAGGTACGAATCGGCCGAAGTGTGCCGAGTTTGAGGAATATATACACATTTTACCGAAAAATTCATTAGGAAAACCTACTACATATATGTAATAGTTTTTCAATATATAAATATATTCACAACTTATAAAGTGTTATCAATGATTTATCATTATTTCAATGACCATTCACACATAAGCTTTTTTTTATGTTCCTGCAGCTATAATCGTCTCGTTTTTCTTTTTAACATCGGGCTCGATGCTACATGATGTTCTCGAAGCTTCCGTCAATATTAAGATCGGTGAATGACAAAAATAATTTGCATATTTCCCTTTTTAATCGGTTATCACAACTTATTTCTTTTATGGCATTTTAATCAAGAATTGATTGAATAATTCAGTGATGACGTTTAATGAAATAAATAAACGATTACTTGTTGTCAGTTTCATTGAAAATTGCCAGAGACTTAGATCCGCCAACCGGAAACGCCACCGTACTCACGTTTTTGCTATTTCATGGTTGTTTATAGAAAACAAAAGTAGACTTTTAATTTAATGTACGATACTTACAATGCGAGTGAAATCTAAATATAGTTTACGGACATCATATTGTATCTAGTGTATTCTTAGAGGAGAAGGTAAAAACTGGTGCATCCGTTTCGGAGTTTATTTGCATAATTTATTAATTTATAAGTATAGATTTGGGAGTGATATTAATCGGGGAAACAACATTCGTTCATCAGCAATTCATATTCAGTTCCCAGACTTTGTAAAAAAAAAAAAAGTTAAATATCAATTTCTGACGTACTTAATATATGTTTTGATATCGACAGAAAAAAAAATAATATTGACCTCGAATGGAATTTAGAAACCATTTATACTCATATTCTTGAGTAATTTACTTTTAACACTTTTTCAAAAAGGAACATCGATTTTTAACTTACTTTTATAGGCCGTCCCTCTGTTATGAAGGATGACGTGGGTTTCATGAAGACGATCGGTTTCTCAGGTATTGGATTTCCCTGCTCAGCCGCCAAGGCTCTAAAGAAAAAAAACTTTATTGGTATCTAAATGAACTAAATAATACTGATATTTGTATCATGTTTGGGTCAATATAAAAGAAAACAGCTAAATGGATAAGATGAAAATCCGAATTTTTGATAGAGGTTTCAGCATCTTTATTGAATGAAAATTAAATACAACTGAATGTTATGGAAAAAAATAACAAACAGTAGCAAACTTTTTTTTAAATTTTCTAAACTTTTACTTTCTAAAAGTTAAACCTTTAATTTTGAATAAAAATGAATTTAGAAATGAATCATGAATTTTTCCAACCAACTAAAATGTCAATTATTCAGTTAAGCAAATTAAGACAAAGATTTTCATCATTTTTTTTTTATCGGATTTTGACATGAATATGAGAAACAAATTATATCCACACATTCTAAATAATAGTATAAACATACTATAAGGTATATGAACAGCATATTCATATACACTTTGATTTTTTTCTGAGAAAAAATAGTTAAGTTTTGTCTCATTTTATACACCCATTCAAAGACGAGATAAAAAAAAATTTCGAGAAAAAAGTATGGCTATGTCAAGTTTTGCCTCATTTTATACACCCATTCAAAGACAGAGTAGCAAGTGTTTGGTTGTTTACATCAGTTAAGCAAGTGTTTGGTTGTTTACATCAGTGATTCTACAGTGACAAGAATGATCATAAAAGTGACACAAATGACTCAACATCAAAAAACACTGACACTAAAACGTTATGTAATACGGCTTGGTCAAGATCAGGTGTCCATGTTTGTTGCAGATTAACAAAATGATATAAAATGACATATGAAGAAAACATACATTGAAGTACTTTCAATTTTTATAAAGAAACTATATATGGGGATGAAAATTTCAAACTTATTTGGTAATACTCAGAGAAAAACTGTGTCAGGTATTTTTTGATCGACTATTTTGAGACCTAGGGCTACGGACTATACAGAGAGTATTTTTCATTTAATGATAGACCATAGAAAAATAGTTGCTTGTATCAGTAAATATTTGTTAAAATTATCATCTTGGAGTTCACATGTGTGTAATGAATCCTTTCATTTGGACATTAAATCAATTTATACAAAAAACCTGTAAAACTTAACAAAATAAAACAAAAACTTCATATAAATTCCCAATACGAGTAAAATATGAATTGTCAGAACAAAATAGTACATGTCAGAATTACATGTATAATTAGTGTTCGATAACAAAATATAGTCTAAGACCATTTAAAGACCAAGAATGATCTTCAATTTAGCATCTTGGAAGTATGAATTTCATGTGAGCACTGGGGCTACGGACTGCACCGTTAAACATCTCTATTGTGGACAATCACCTTAAAGAAAATTAAATTTTGGGCATTTTTTTTATTATTTGGTTTTCTATAACAGTTCACACGACTTAGTTTAAGTATTTATAATATCATGCTTAAAGATCAATTGTCTAATGTACTGTGTACTTTCAATGCCAAATGAAATTCCAGTTCAACTAATTAAAGCATTATTGGTGTTCAAATTATGATGAATAAAAGCAACAGAAGGTGTAATTAAATCAAGGCATGATTTTTTTTTTTTGGGGGGGGGGGGTTACGGACTATATTGCTTCATATTTTTTCTCGATTTTATTTTAATGTAATACATATAGCTCAAGATGATCATTTAAAAGGTGTATCAGTATATAATTTATGATCATATGCGTAATTCATAAACAAAATTACAAAACATTATTGACCATTTAAAAAAAAAAAAAAAAAAAAAAAAAAAAACTTAATAGTATAGTATATTTATCCATGAACAATCAATGTTTTTTCTTTATTTTAAATTTTACAATTCAGTGACAAGTAGATTGGGTGGTGCAATTATAAGAGTGAAGGTCTCACTTTGTACTTAATTGAAAAGAAAGGAGTTGATCCTTATGTTTTGGGATCAAATCCCACTATGGGATGTTAAGACTGCTTGACGAGAACTAATAAACCATTGAAGCCCATTTTGCAGTAGATACAGGCAGAAAAAAAATCTTGCTAATACAGAAGTACGGTTATATGGTCTGTAAATTTGCAAAATTTATTTGTAGAGTCTGTAGCCCTTTTGTAAGTAGGATTTGGGTGGCCAAATATTCTTTTAAAAATATTCCAATGCTAATTATTCTAAATGGATTGATAGTATGTATCACAAAAAGGAAAACTTTATCATGTATATTTAGAAATATGTTTTTACCACAAACATAACAGGACAGACTACAGAAGCAAGCCTTTAGTTGAAAAATGTTAATTTTCAGACATTTTATCTTTAATTACAGTGGTATTTGTATTTAAAAACATTGCATTTGTTCGAATAAACATATTATTGTATCGTAGTTATTGTATCAGTAATGTATATGACTTTTTCTGGAAGTTGTAATATTAGGGCTACGGACTATACAGGGCTACGGACACCAATCATTCTTCTATAACTTCTTTTGGTGTTAGCGCAAAAGCTATTCATTAGTGTTTTTTACTTCACAGGTAACTGTGAAAATATTAAACAAGAGCATGATAAATTATACATTCTTTTGTTGAACACAGACTATAATGAAATGTGGGGCTACTGACTATACAAAATATTAGACCAGTATGGAAATTAAATTACAAAATGTGCACACATTTTACCATATAACCACTGTATTTTTCTCATAGTACTTTTCTTCTTAAGTAAAATAAAAAGTTTTAAATACATTATATTTGCTCGTATTTTGCTAGAAATTATGCATTTATTCAAACATTGATGAATCTTAAATTATATAACAAAGGTATATCTGCACACATTTATTCATAATTTCCACAATTTTTATCCTTTTTCTTCTCTGTAAAAAATAAACTTAACCAGAATGATTTCTCTGTGATAATGTATATTTATTTTGGAATGTTTCATTCAAAATAATTTTAATTAACCATTTTTTATAATGTAAAAAATCAAATGCAACAGCATAACACTTCAAAAATTATGAATCTTTGACTTTATTCTGTTGTTTTTTCAAAGATGTAGATACTATATATATGGTATCATATACCAATGGAAAGCTCTCATTCTGCTCTTTGCAATGCAACAAAAGACATTTAGATTAGATGCAACTGTAAAGAGTTATATCTATATAACATCATTCGGGTGGAAATGGGCACCTGATCTTGGCCAAGCCGAATAGTGAAGAATATAACATAAAAAGCAGAATACATCACAATCTAGCACACATACCTGCAGAGATGGAAGAAGCTACTAAAATTTTAGTATATCTAAAATAATTTAATCTTGAAAGAAAAAATGACTTAGTAACACTACTGAAGTTGAGTTATCCAAATGACAACATACAAACATGAATAGAAACATAAAATATGCCTATTGTAAATTAAACGTCTTACATAAAAGTAAGTTGCTGTAGGGGAAATTCTAATGCAAATTTCATTTTACCTTTCACATTTTCTACAATTCTCTGCAATTTTTCACTTTCTACAACATACTTAGATCCGACTTTAACTGGCTCCTTAATCAATAATCACACTAAGCTCATCATCTAAACTATACCAACATTTTTGCCAGTAAAACTGGCAGGAATCAAGATTTTCCCCTGGTACTCTATACATGCGTAGACATCAAAGTCGAAAGACAAAGACATCACCCAAGTCTTTATCAGTAATGTAACCGGGATATAGCATTCCATCTTACAAAACTATAACACATACGTATGCAATATCTCTTCAATTGTTTCATATCTTTTAAAATTGTCATCATTTGTTGTTTCCTTTTATTTCTTCATTTTGAATAGTACCCATTGGTTTTGGAATCACTGAGGTACTTGTAGCTTCTTTACCTTTCCCTTAAAGTTCAACTTTATTCTTTTCTAGAGGCGTGTTTCCGTTTTTCTTACGTTTACTCAAATCCCACGATTCTTGATATTCCTTTGCATCAGGCATAGACCCAGCTTGTCACTGTTGTTGAAGTTCAACCAGCTGTAGTATTTTTAAAGGGTCCTTCAATGAACTCTCATTTAACGAAAGTTTGCCCTCCTTCTTCACCTGAATTTTATTAGTAGACTCTGGAATTCTAGTGGAGGTCTTTGTTTCATCACTCCCTTGAATGTGTGAATTTTCTTCACCCGTGTTTGTTTCGCTTTGATTTTCAATTCTACTGTTACTCTTATCTGTTTGCCTTTTCTTTCGTTCTCTAAACCTTCAGCCTCGATCTTTGGATATCAATGTCTGTAGGTTTGTGCACTACATCATAAGGAAGGAATGGTATGAAGTGATTTGAAATCCAGTGTGTATTTACCATGTCAGATCTTGTACTTGTCCAAAAACATAATTGTTCCTGTATTGTTCTACTTGGGAAAGTATTATTCTCTTTAGGTCCACTCTTACTAATGGATTTCCAAGTTTATGGTAGACAGAAACTAGTGATCTTCTCAGGATACAGAAAAGTGCAAATACCTGCAAAACACCTAAGTAACACTTATCCTTACCAACATTCACAACTTAACTCTGAAAAAGTGTTTTATGGTCGTGCCATTTAGTAGCAATCCAGGTGGGGACGACTCTGAATACATGGCATACCGTGTTGGCAAATTATTAGGTAAAACTTTCAATCCTCTCTCAAGATACTTCGGATTAAAATACAAATCTTGGTAAAGTAATTATTCTGTTAAGATGCGGATCCCCATTTCTGCTCCATTTTTCTCAGTGCCAGATACATGCACACTTCCCATATATGGTGAACAGGTACCATCTGCTGAAACATGAGCTGGTTTCAAAATCTGTTCTTGGGCTATGTCTGCTGGATAAATACTAAGTGATAATTCATCCACACCTAACTTTATATTAAGAAGCGATGGGATAAATTTACAAAAGATTCGACCCTATTTTAATTTTCAAGTAGAGGGTATGTATTTCATCAAAGGTTTTCCTCTTTGCTAATGCTTTCAGAGTTTCATCGAGGAACCCGAAGCTCCTCAGTAGAGGAAGATGTGGCCATGTTTCTGTCTTTAGACTTTGTTGTTGTACTAGTGTTGGCAGGTTGAGCATTAGCTTTGGTGAGAGAGGCAAACATTGTTAATTCATGACCTTTGTGAGTATCTAGATAATTACACATACAACTAAAAGACCTATAGACAATTTCGCCTGGGTTCTTTGTAATGATGAATCTTCGATGTCGAACTGTTTTAAATGGTACAACTGCTTTGCGGTATTGTCAATCATATCAGGAGTTACGTAGAATACAGAAATATTAAATTCCTCCTCATCTATTGTTTCTTTGAATGATTTCTAGTCTGTGAATAAAGGCGTTGAAAAATGTTCTAATTAGCGCTTCGCTTCAAAGTGCCACCAAGCCCATCCGAAATTCTATGTAGCCATCGTTATACCACGAATTACAAGTTCCTCATACCATATATACATTGTATTATACATATAAACCTAGCTTGCTAGATTTTATTTTTTACAATATGATGCATATTAAACGTCATTTTAAGAGTGTAATTCCGTTGACAGTAAAAAAAAAGTAGATGTGTCGTAACGCCATGAATGCCCCTGCAGGCAACCATATCTAGTTTTAAATTTGTTAGCACAAATCTTTTTCAAGTTTAAGGGGATAACTGTCAAAAATCATCGGACCAGGACAATACCTGCATATGGAATTTCAACCTTATACATACATCACTACAATGGTCAGGGAGCGGGAACGGAAATTTTCTTATTTTTTCTAAGTTCAAGAGGGAAAACTCTGTCAAAAATCATCGGACCACGACCAAATTCGATCTTGACATGTATTTTCTGATAAAATACCTGCATATGCAATTTCAACATTATTCATACATCCTTACAAAAGTTAGAGAGATGAAATATATAGAGATAACGAACAGTATTCAAGTTCAAAAGTCCATTAAACAATACAAAATAGGAGCAGAGCAAACACGGACCTCCAAAACATCAGAGGTGGGATCAGGTGCCATGGAGGAGTGAGCATCCCCTGCCGACCGGTCACACCCGCCGTGTGCTCTTTGTCATGATCGGGAAATAACGGAAAAATCCGTCGACAATTCAGTGTGTAAATAATGGCCTAACAATTAGTATGAAAAACGTCAATCAGCATTTGATTCAATTATAAATTGTACTTGCTGACAAGATCATTGTACATGTATCGACCATAGAACTTACGAAATGATGATTTTAAACGAGACTTTTGGTTGACTACGGACTAATCTGTCTGCCTGACCAATACATAGTGCTCACGGCGGTGACCGGTCGACAGGGGATGCTTAATCCGAGGCACCTAATCCAACCCTTCGAATTTCCAGGGGTCCGTGTTTTGCGCCCTGTTCACATATATGTATTGTTTGTAGGTTTTTTGAGATCGATTACCATTTGTTATTTTACCTATGTTATTGTGATCAGTCTTAGATTTGTTGCTCATCATAGGCTAGCGAAGAATTCAAATGCCAAATTAAATGTAAATTGAAGATGACAGGCAAGAAATGTGTTAAAATTTCCCTCCTATTTCAATGTCAGGAGTGAATGGTGAACTATATACATGTGCTGGTCTTCGGCTCAGCAAAAGAAATTTAGTCAGTAATAACAAACGCTATATTTATTGCGGTCTCGCAAGCCAATAATTTTAACAGTATATAGAGCGAGACTCTCTCTCTCTCTCTGTGAGGACAGCAGCGTTTTAGGAATCATTAAATCTGTTCGTCTTAAGTTATGCAACTCGACACAACGTGTCAAAATATGATAATTTTCTTCAGGGACAAATATTTTGACTATATTTTTTACTGACATTGTCTAAATTATGCAACGTTACAGATCACATTACCTTATATAAAATGAAGAACTTACTGGGACACAAAAAATGGATCAGCCCCCCCCCCCCCCGTGCTCTCTTTGTTGAAAGAATAGTTAGTGCTACAGAAACTTTTCTATTACATGTATATCTTTACTTAAAGATGAATCGGAGTTACTGCCCATAATACAACAGTGTGACACTCTAAAACTGCAAAACGACTACATAATTCTGCTTACCTATGCGAAGGCTGAAGTGCACTTTCTTGTGAGGGTCTTTCAGAGCAAATACATTACCTGTAATTTCGCCCTACTGCCATCACTTTCTTTCCCAAGGATGTAAATGTTTTAAGTCTCTCCTCGGATGACATGGCGCCCTTATTATTGACCTACATCTACACAGATAAAACTCGGCGGATCTTAGCTTTATTGTGGCTGTGTAACTATGAATTATCATATATTTTTCAGCAATGAAAATAACTTTTAATGACCTAATTTTAGTCGCAAATTAACACAGTGTTTTTAAGAGTTGCTGATAGCGCCTTCTGGTTTTCAGTTGTGGGTTGTTAAATGGAGTGATAGAAACACAATCAATTTATATACAAAATATTAGTTATAGCTTCAGGGTGTCGTGAACTGACCGTCTTCTCCAAATCAATGTTCACTTGCAGCGAAGAGAAATCTGAAAAGCTTTTTGCCTTGTGATGAAGTAAACGGATTTGCTATCAAAACTCAAAACAATTTTCATGCAAATACTTACATACATACACTAGATAGATTGATAGATAGATAGATATTTTCACTACATCCACCCTTCTAACCCCAACCCCCCACAAGAAAGGGAACTCATTATTTTAGAAGTGTTACTGCTAATTTTTGCTTTTAATATAGACATCTTATCCCTGAGATAACATTTTTAAATTAATAAATACACAATGCATTTTACTGAGTTGGAAGCGAGTAAAGCACAATGTTAATTTAATTATGGGATGTTATTTTTACCCATTGGGAGACGTGTAATTGGAAATGTGTTTATATCAACAAATTGATTTCTTGAACATAAAATAAAAAATTCAGCAAAGCTTTTCAATATTCCGAACAAAACACACTGAATTATTGAAAATTCAAGCAAAGATCAATAAAATCATTGATTTCTCTATCATATACTTTAATTGAGAGCAAAAACAGGATTCGTCAGGAGTTATTCTCCCCGAAGATATCAAACAATGGATCAAAAATTACTGCTGCTGTGTATCTTATGTAAGTATAAAAATGAGAGTGATAGCAATAATTGTAATGAAAAAAATGTAGACTTTGACAGGGGCACTTTTGACATCAAAGTTGTTTTTAAAAAGATTTGATATTTCTACCCAGAAACGATGAGTGATAAACAGTCTACTAAGACATTCTTTTTAAAAAAAAGGATATCAGTGTTTTCATGTCATTCAGATTGTGTGTCAGATTAAACCGTTTTATAAATTTACAGAGTACAGATTAGGTCTATATTAATTTTAGTTTGGGGGCGGGGGGTAAACCTAAAAGGGGGGATTCAACGTTATTTTTAAATGGGCACAACCGTAAATTAGCTTCATTTCTATTGCATGAAATCTTAAGATAATGATCAGTAAATATGCTTAAAAGTCCAACTAATTATTACAAATTGAGAGCAGAGCAAGCACGGACCCCTGAAAACACCCTTGTTTGGATCAGGTGCCATGGAGGAGTGATCATCCTCTGACAAGCCTTCACACCCGCTGTGAGCTCCTTGTCAAGACCGGGTTTACGCTATGTTAAGGATTCCCCAAGCATTAAAATGCGTTCAATATTGTATTGCTAGGTCGGTTTTGATTTTGATTTGTAAGTTATGTACTTAAGTACAGTCATTTATATGGAGGGCTCGCTCGGCTATATCAAAACATAAATGTACTTCGTTGATCATTGACGGTCATTTATAATTTTTTTTTTTTTTGAAGAATCACTTTGGCGCAGTCGATTAAAACTATTATTATTATTTATTATTAACTTTTTTATTATATAAATAAACCTCTCGTATCCTTGTGTATCGATAATATCACTTAGGTGCAAAATAATTCCTCCTAGGCACCTGATCCCACGTCTGGAATTTCCAGGGGTCCTTGTTTTATGCCCTCTTTACATATTTTTATTCTTTGTGGATTTTTTGAGACCGACCACTGTTCTTTATCTTTTACATGTAAAGTGTATGATACTTTCCCTGGCATAACAGCTCAAGTTTGCGGTGACTTGACGTCATTTTCCATTATGACGTCATATATTGTTAGTTCAGAGAAGTGAAAGCCCAGAGTGAACCGTAATATTAACCTACCTGCGAATAAGTACATAATTCAGTATGAAAATAATGACCTAACAATGTGTGTGAAAAAACAGTCAAAATTCGACCTAACGTGATTGTATCGACCATAGAATTTTCGAAATGTTGACTTTAAATATGAACCTTTGGGTCATTTACTTATTTGTCAGTAGCCTGCATCGGTTAAGAAATTGTTCGTACGTAGAACATGCTCAAAACAACTGGGAAACATATGCACCATAAGCACCCCCGGTTAATACTACTTGCTTTCTTAAAAAAGTTAAATAATGCTTGAAAGCGTGTCTACGAAAAAAAAATCTCAGTCTTCCGGAAACAACTTTCTCCAACTTTCATGGAATTTTGTGTGCAGGTTACACTATCCCGAGTATTATATATCTTAATATATTTTCCATTCAATTCACTATGGCTACGATAGGAAGCGTCGTCTATAGTTTTTCCTTTTTAGCCAGATTCCAGTTATTGGTATATCTGTGACAAAAAAATATAACTCTTTTCGGAAATAATTTTTAACCATTATTTAAAATCTTGAAGCTAGATAAACGAAAGTCGCCCGCGTGACGCTGTGGTCTGCTCTAGGGTCTCGGAGTAAGGAGTTGATTCTTATGTCGCGGGTTCGAATCCCACTGTGGGACCGGTTCTTCGGATGAGACCGTACAAACCGAAGTCCCGAGTCGCAGTAGATGCTGGCACGAAAGAGATCCCTCACTGCTCAATGGCCCTAAGCGCCGAGTATAGGTCAAAAGGACTATATTCTGTAGTGGCCAGTATCTGCCCCCAAAATAAAACTTTGATGGAGTAATCTTTAATTATGTTCTAAACCAGGTGGATATTTGCAGACTTCAAAGCATTAAATATATTTATCAACTATGACATCATTAGTTAGATATGACGTCAATAAAATGACGTAAATTCCAAATTGCAATGATTTTGAGAGAAAATAGTGTATTTTACGTCGGTATTTTGATTGGAAATTATCGAGCGCAGGTCTGCTCAGACTAGATCTTTTGATATAATGTGTATAATGATAATATCAATGAAATATGTAAATATGGTACCTGAGCAAGCTTGCGCTCTATAAATACTATAGTCAAAATTGAACAAACTCTGTGCATTTTGGCCTCTATTTTAAAAATAAGGGAAATCCAAATAGTTTGTGACGTCACAGAGACAAGAAAAGCCAACTAATTTTTCCAATTTCATTATATATTGTCTTAATTTGGATTATTTTATACAATATATGCACTTTTTCCCATTTCAAGAGATTTTCAAAATTTGACTATTATGGGGGCAGGAATACGCCCTAACCGTATATAGTTCTTTGCATCTCTCCACGGCAAGTGAAATGTACAAGCATCTTCCGGTCAGTTTGCAATTTTTTTTTTAATATATATAAAATTGCTGAATGATACAAAAAGGGAGATGACTCATAAAACTTGGCATTTTACCAGTATTTGACTGTCTACAAAATATGGAATATTAAAAAATGGCCGTATCTTATAAAGCAACGCTTTGATACGAAAAGTTATAGTAATATATTATGAATATGATAATATATGTTAAGACCATTTTTATATTGAAATAAAATGCGATAGTGGTTATCTTGAAAACTAGAGAAATAACTCAAATTAATAATACAATAATCTGCAAAATTTGAAGAAAAAATGCACATTAAAAATACATGTATTTTTTATCCACAAGTTTCATTTTTAAGAAATATTTTTGGTGTTATTATAGTCTTTTTGAAAGGTTAAATCACTGAGTACAAAGAAATGTAGTTAAATTTCAAGTTTTTCTGTTTTTATCAATAACAAACATCTTAAGAAAAACAAATCAATTAAATTGAACCTTCTCTATTCCGCTGTATTTTCAACTCATCTCTGTGTTTTTGGCATGTAATAATTCAAAACAGAATCTGTGGTATAATCCAATCTGATTAAAATCAGATCTTTGTTACGCTCCGAAATTCTGATGGTCGCTGTACAAAGATCCGATTTTAATCAGATTGTGGTATAATCAAGATGTATATGACATGAACTATCCTTCTGATTTGTCCTTGTCAAATTTACAATTTGAGACTGTAGATTTTACAAACACAAGAAAATGAATGAAAGAATTATATTCAGAAGGGGCATATGCACTATATTGAAATTTGAACTCAAATATGAACATTTTCTAGTAATTAATATGTAATTAAAAACAAATTATGGATTAAACAGCTCAATAAGACCGCGGAACATTAACTGGCAAAATTGGAAATATGCAACCTACGTCATTTCCATCTGTTACAGTGAAAAGATCTAATGATAGACAATGAAATGGGAGGGTACATTCGACACGGACGTCCGAGAAAACATTGGATTGAAATTCCAGTTTGAAATTCATTTTCAATCCACCTCAGCTATACTCTAGAACGCACAGTGTTACTGATTGACCTAGATGACAAATAATTTCAATTTCGGAGATAGTTTGAAATTTATATAAATCAGAATTTTCTGTCCAGTGTTTTTAAAGAAATATAAAGGGACAAATAACAAATATTTGATTTCTGTTTGGTACAAGTGTATGTGTGTGCTGGGCGGGGGGGGGGGGGGGGGGGTGGCTGAACGATCTTGGAAATAAATAAGAAAGTTAGTTTTCTTTTAGTTTGAACAATCCCTCCCTGGTTTTGTTTGTTAAACATTTTCCTGAGAGGACAAAATTAAAAAAAAGACTCTTGTCATCCTAGAATATATGTATATTCTGTCATGTGAAGGCATGATCTGACTTCACAATTTTTGACAGCCCCCCCCCCTTTCTAGAATCAAATGGCAGTCCCCTGAAAAATAATCACTGTCTTCTATACTTTTACGTATCCTTAAAATTATAGGCTAAAAACTCATATAAATATGAATTTCAAACATGTATTTGGGAATTGAAATTATTTGTCTTCTCGATCATACATTCACACTTCAGGTTTGAAAACAGCTCAGGTGGATTGAAAATGAACATCAAACTAGAATCTCAATCCAATGTTTTCTTGGACGTCCGTGTCGAATTGTACCCGCCCATTTCATTGTCTATCATTAAATGTTTTGACTGTAACAGATGGAAATGACGTAAGCTGTATATTTCCAATTTTGCCAGTTAATGTTCCGCGGTCTTATATGATTGTTTACATACATGTATTAGGAGGAGGGAAAACTTTGTGCCTTTTATATTTCCATTGTCAAGAGAGGGCTTGTCAAGGGCAATGACTCAGATAGCCTGAACATGACTTATTTTTACATAAATATTCTCTGTAAATGGAATTTTGCTAATAACGACAATTTTTTTACTGATAAGGCTGTTATTTTTAAATAACATAAAATGTAGAGTACAGTTTTCTGCTGCTAGAAGTTTGAAAACTATCTTTAGAGTTAAGAGTACGAGTAAAAAAGTAAAAAGACTTGTCCACATTTCAATAAATACATAAATGCATTTATGATTTTCCATCAACAAACATAATAATTTGTATTTTCTAAAAAATAATTTAACCAAAGATTTACTTTAATTCCTCAACTAAAGATGTAGGTTAGTGTCTGTGATTATGGATGTTGCCCAGCACAGGCTCTTTAAACCACAAGCGTGTCGAAAGATAATAATTCCGATTCAAACCGTCAGTTCTTTAAGCTTAAATTTGCCAACAAAAGAATAGATGCCGTGAACATTAGTTACATTCTTAATCATAAAAAGGTTCAGTCTTGTATTCCACCATATTTCAAGTTGAAGTCTTCACTCTGCATTTCCTACAGAAATTCCGATATTTCCCAGTGAAGTCAGCATTTTGTAAATGCTATTGTCGGATAATGACTTTATTAGCAAATATAACCAATCATTTGGTCTTATATGTATTTTGGCTGACGTGTTTCATACCAATGTTAGGACTTTGTTTTTATACTAAATTTGACTACGAAATAGTCCGTCTACCTGATCAATACATGGGGCGCACGGTGGATGTGACCGGTCGACAGGGGATGATTACTCCTCCTATGCACCTGAACCAACCTCTGGAATTTCTGGGGGTCCGTGTATTATGCCCTGTTCACAGATATGTATTGTTTATAGATTATTTTAGATCAATAATTGTCAGACTGATTATTAACTGTTCGTTATATTGACCTTTTACATTATTTCTATCTTTTTCATCCTTTTCCCCATATTTATTTCAATGAAAACCATTGATTTTATTAGCAAAATTACTAAATATTGAACATATATACTGTATGTTTGTCCAGGGCGAAGTGATTGTTTATCCAGCAATCTTAATTATGCGTAAAACAAAGCCACAATCTTTACAGAAGCTACATGAAAATAAAATTTAGGCGTTAACTTCCAAGTTATAGTCATTGAAATAAGATAATGACTTACATTGCATATTGGAACAAATTGGCACCTTGTCAAAAAACCAAGTTAAGTGCAAAAACGTCACATAGATTTAAAAAGAGATTGTACAAGAATGTCAGTGACATGCAAAAAGTTGGATATTTTAAGACATTTAAAAAAAAATTAAATCTCTTTAAAATCCACGAACCTAATGGCCTAAATATGAAATATGCTGTGACAAAATAGATCGATGCATGTCAAAATTTGATATCACTTTTGATGTTTCTAAACAATGACCTTTGAAATCAAACATCAACTGACGTCAAATTGAAAACCCTGCTTCTGGACATTTTTTTTATGGTTTTACCGTAGACATGCTCTTAATAAGTTTATCACAAAATTCTGTTCTATTAAAGTTATTTAAAGGATTGTTTTAATCAACACAATATTTACTAGGCTGTATGTTGTTCAGCGAAGAGAACAGTCAGGGAAGTGTATATGGCAAGACCTCTTCAACAACGGAGGCCCCGGATGAGATGTGTGACTGCGACTGTGAGTACATGGACAAGATCGAATCCTTCAACAATGCTTCTAACCCCTACATCAACAAGACTCAAGAACAGCTGCTGGTGATGCTGGAGAAAGAGTTAAATCAAATGAAGACTTTGCTTCAGGTCCAGAAAAAGGAAATCCCTGCGGTCAAGGCCCGTAAAATCAGCGCTACAGACGTCAGGCCTTCCGCTAAAAACGTGGGGATGATAGGAGTGGCTTTCATGGCGTTTGTGTTCGGGGGGATCGTGGTACTAGACCTCATTTCCCTCCCACAATACCTTAGAAACCTCAAACGGAACCTGTGTTAGAGGATCACTCTTTCATCTTTGCTCTGGAAAAGAGGTCAACTTTTTTTCCGATTTGATGCACGTTCACTCTGTTTTTATCAATAGACCTTTGACATAATTCAGATATTGAGTCAAGGATGTCATTTTCAAAATTAAAAGGTTCAAGGTCCCTTTTTTACCATTATTATTAATTGTATCCATTTGAATAAAAAATTTTGATTCCATTTTAAACAGTGTGTAAATATTTTCAAGTCCTGTAATGCTCTTTATGGAGAGGACGCTTCTTTGCAAATTTGTAATGAAAGAAAGAATACTAATATATCATGTATGGATGCTTTATCTCTTGTGTATGCACTTGTGAAAACAACTTTTTCTTTTTGCACAATAAATTGTACTCTTGTTGTTATGATAAAATGATGTCAGATTTAATTAAGGAGGAATAACACAATCGACTTCATGTTTTTTTTTTTACTTGAGCAGTACCAATCAATAACCAGAAACTTTAGAATTGCGTATGTCACCCCAAACTGACCAAGATAGTGCAGTATTTTAATCAAAAGCAGACTAAGAAACTTCAATTTTAAATTAGGAAAATATCTAACAAAAATTATCATTTTTTATTTCTATGGATACGGAGGCCATTTTGGAAATTTAACAGAAAAAATTTAAGCCTATATTTCCCTGACAGCAGCGACAAAGTTAGTTAAATGATTTCCATTTTTTTAAATAATCATTTTTAAGTTTCAAAACTGGCTGGGCGGTTTTTTAGATTAAAAATAATCAAATTTCCTCTCATTGCATGACAATGGTCTACATTTTGATAATTTTAAATGTTGAATGCGCACCGAAATTGGGTGATTATTTACCGCATCTGTGACGTTTCAAGCCTTCTGCAAGAATATTATAGGTGGAATAATGGCAATACGTAGTCCTGACGTGAGGTGTGATATAAATCAATACGTTGTAATAAATACATTTTACAATACTATTTTTTTATGATTTAAAAAAAAAACAGAAGCAGAGCGAAATGGTGAAATCACAGATTAAGGATCAGTCTTTATCTCATAAACACGTAGAAGGCGTCCGTAAGAGCATAACAATCATTTTCAATAACCAAAAAAAAATATACTTATATAAGGATTACATCAAACATATGTTTAATTTTAAATATATTGTGGGCCCAGAAAAAAATAGCTTGGTGTATATATATTTAAAATATATATAATTATGATATTAAAGATAATTGATTTAATTGTCGACGGATTTTTCCGTTATTTCCCGATCATGACAAGGAGCACACGGCGGGTGTGACCTGCCGGCAGGGGATGCTCACTCCTCCATGGCACCTGATCCCACCTCTGATGTTTGTTGGTCCGTGTTTGCTCTGCTCCTATTTTGTATTGTATAATGGACTTTTGAGCTTGAATACTGTTCGTTATCTCCATGTATTTCATTATATGTAAAATAATAAATTCATGCAGTCGCTTTATCGATGGATTGTTATCAGGATTTGTTTTTCAATATAAATAATTAAGAAGCAATGATTTTCACCCATTAAACGAATCAATAAATGCATGGACTAACACCAAATTCCATAAAATTATAAATCCTTCGACTTTCGATTCACTAAAACCTTCAGCAAAACATGGAATTCGCAAAATTCAATAAATTCTAAAATTTTAGGATTTTGAAAAGAATTAAATTAAAAAATGTATTTTTAGTCACCTGAGGCATGTAAAAATCAGATGACGTATTGCTATCTGGATTTGTCCGTCGCCGTGCGTCGTCTGCTTACATATACTATTAATAGTACATATTTTCATCCGCTGAACCGATTTCAACCTATTTTCCAACCTATATCTATGGGTAATGGCGTACGAAAATTATGAATTTCATGCACCCCTCCCTAGGCCTGAGGGTGGGGTTAAAACCATCAAAATTAATGCAATCTTCAAAAATCTTCTTTACTCCTGGGCATCAAGCAGTCAAACTGTTGGCATGCATTAGTCAATAAAATATGCATTGAGCCCTCAAACAAAAATGTCAAATACAAAATACAAACTACATGTAAGTGCATGATTATGATGAACAATAATTGTGAAATTCATGACCCCTGGGTTAGAGCTGTTTTTTATTGACCATTTAATGAAATCCATTAATTCGTTAAAAATCCTCTCTGCTCATGGGTATATAGCAGAAAAACTTGGTGCATGGTTATGATGAGGAAGAAAGCCTTTTCCAAAATTGTTTGTGAAATCCTTTGCCACTGAAACAGGGATTCTTGAGTTAGTGTAGGGGTTCTTTTGATCATATATGCATTTACGAAAATACATTTACTCTGAGAAAATCTTCTCTGCTCTTGAGTATTTGAGAAACACATGTACATTTCATTGTTATGACGAGAAAGAGCGCTTCTTCCAAATATGTGAAATTCATGGCCCCTGAAGCAGGGGTTCTGAAGTTATATTAGGGCGGGACTCTATGCTGGCACGAAAAAGATCCCTCACTGCTCAATGACCTTACGTGCCGAGTATAGGACAAAATTTGCAGCTCTCCACCGGCAAGTGGTGGCGTCTCCATATGAGTGAAAAATTCTCGAGAGGGACGTTAAACAACATACAAACAAAATCTGTAATAATCCCCAATGTAAAGATCAGCTCCTTACTCCGCGACTCTACAGCAGACGCTCTACCACTGCGCCACGCGGGCGACGATTTTTATAAATGAAACCAATTCTTCTTAATCTCACCTGGGTATAGCTCTTCCACGGAAGCCTATATAGGAAATCAAAAATGTTCTTTAACATAACGATGTTGAATATAACGACTTTAATTTCTATTTTTCAACTTCCCTTATTAATGTAGCAATTATCACTTGCATACAGGGTTCTAATTGGCGACTGATTTAGTCGCCATGGCGCCTAAAACTTTTGATTGGCGCCTAAAATTTATCTATAAATCGCCAAATTGGCGACTGTTTAAATTGACTTGGCAATCACCAACATTTTTTTTCTTTTTTGAAGAGCAAAAGGATATTTGAAAATGGAGACGATCACGTTTAGCAACGGACGTGTCTTGTGTTTTCTTTATCATCTTTTTTTCCTAGGGCACGTCCAAGCGCGTCGAGTCAGTGCACACAGAGCATATAATTAAAAGATTATGTAAGACAATAGTTGCTTCGTGTAATTTTTGAATCAAGAAAATTAATTTTGAAATGCAGTAAATTGGAGGGGTGATGTGGTCAATTGTTATATATACTCAATAGATATATGGTCCACAAAGTCCGTGTCAGGTCGTTATTGTACAGACGAACATAAAATGCAAATCATGTAAGCAAGCCTCGATCTTATTATAGTTTTTAAAAACATTTAATTATATCAAAGTTTCTTAAAATCAAAGAATCTAATAAAACTTCTTGGATATACTAATATTGGGACACTAGACATCCCTATATTGACAAATAGCTTTTAAAGTCGGCGCCTAAGAAAATTTGCCTGGAGACTAAACAAATTGCATTGGCGACTATTTTTTTATGATTAGGAGCCAGATGGTGCTCAAATTATAGAGCTCACTATGAGGCCTGGAATATGAAGTTTATGTCTCTCAGTTGATTCGATACGCAAAAACATGCTATGCGCACGAAGTTTCTAAAATGAGGCAAGCTATTGACAAAATTAAGTTGATGAAATAAGGATAACAGTTTTATTAAAAGTCAATATTTTGCATATTCTATGGTTGATACAATGACCTTGTCAGCAAATATATCATTAGTTGCCATCGTGGCGTAATGGTTGGAGCGTTTACTCTAGATTCGCGGAGTAAGAAATTGGTCCTTACGAATCCACTGTGTGACGCGGACATCAATCCTTCGAATTCGGAGGAGACCGTCTAAACCGAGGTGTTTTGTTTGTTGTTGTTCCTCTCGAGAATTTACTCATATGGAGATGACACCACTTGCCGGTGGAGAGCTGCAAATTTTTACTTGTACTCGGCGCTCAGGGCCATTGGGCAGTGAGGAATCTTTTTCGTGTCAGCACCTACTGCGACGTGGGACCTCGATTTATACGGTCTCATCCGAAGGACCGGTCACTACGTCCCACACTGGTATTCGAACCTGTGGTGTAAAGATCTACTCCCTACTCCGCGACTCTTAGAGCAAACGCTCTAACGCTAACCACTGCGCCACGCAAGCGACTTTAATTAAGTGAAATTAGTATGGTTATATTTTATCTCATATTTTATCTGTCTGCGATAAAAATATTAACATCAATTCTCTGTAAGGACCAAAAATGCTTGGCCACGCACTATCATGGAATTTTATTTTATCACTATAATATTAGAGAGTGCCCTACATAAAGACTATTGGTGGGTAAATTTTGGACAGTACCTCCTTGGTTTCCATAGCAACGACTTTGAAATATTTTGTCATGGCAAAACTGACCTGATTGTCATCACCATGTAAAATAATTCCGTGCTTCCTTAATGTAGGAAAGTTATGAACATAACATAGGTTTCATTTTATAGCTAAGTAATCAAAGTTTCTGTGCATCTAAATTTTATTCAATTTAACCCAAGGTTTTTAATATGATACAGATCAATTTACATGAATTTGTCATAAAAATGAACACAAAGGTGCCTATTTCTTGATATGCATATTAAATTTTGCAGGCAATTGAAACTTAGAAAAAAGATCTTTTTAGTAAGATCAAGCTTAGATCTAAAAGATGCAAAAAGATTTGAGGTGGGGAAATCAGTTAAAAGTCATATTCCAATCCCCTCAAATTATAACTTTTCCTAAAAATTAACCTAGAGTTATTTCCCTTTGCTGACTCTTTTGCACTGAAGACAAAAAAATTAAACTGGTGTTATTTCCCTTTGTTGACTCTCCTGTATTGAAGTCTAGAGAAGTTTATAACAACATGTGGCAAAAACAGACGCCAGAAAAATAAACATGAAACAATAACGGAAAAATGATGTGTTTTTCAACTTTTTAAATTGGAATTCAGGTGTGAATGGCAAAGGAATTCATCAAATGAAGGAGACACTGCTTTCTCAGCATTCAACTTGATAATGATGTACAGGTCTTTATTATGATAATAGATTTTTAATGTCAAATTCACTTTGCAAAATATTGAAACAAATTTTATGAGGTCTGACTTGCATTCCCATCATGTGGGATTCCATGTACTCTAAAACCCATGAGAAAAATGCAGGATTCAATTGGAGGAAAACAACAAGCAGAAGATAGGGCAGTCAGTGGGAATGGTTAGAACAACCCTAGGCACAGGTATAAATTTGAATATTTTCAAATATTCATTTTGTATAAAAACTACATGTAAGAAGCTTTTTTCAAATAAATTGACATACCGGTAATTTTAAATTAAATAATTTTTTTTATATAATAGACTTAATTGGTCTATATTCAAAGATCACCATGTTAGCAGGACATTCCAGACATATATCTTATTAATATATTTGCATTATAGGAATTTTTGCTTGCTTCAGAAAGCAACTTACTTTGGCAAATCATAACTACAAAGTT